ATTTATGTCAACAGATACAAATTTAATTCATGTCATTGACCAGGGTCATGTACATTTGGTTATACAAGTTCATTGCCACCAGTTTCATGTGCTCATGCCTGTATATAACAATCAAGAAAGTTCATTTATGCTCATTGCACAATCAACAATCCCACTATTAGGAGCTTCAAGTTATCCAATCTCTGTCGAAAAATACTGTGCTTTATTCAACATCTAGCATCACTTTCACATTACAACCATCTTCACTGTTATAACTAACTACAGATTAAACAGAGTGGTAAATCATACAGAATAACAAAAATAAACTTAATAATCTTTTTTCTCTTTAGTGTCCCCAACATTTTCCTGCCGAATTCTAATCTTTCTTTCATTCATTTTCTAGCACTTCTTCCAAACAAGAAGCAGCCCTCGTGGTTGAGACAATTCGACATCTCTTAAGCGTTGTAAATTCTTCCTCATTGCATCCTGCTTAGCTGATTTTCACACCTTTTGAGAGTAACTCCTCCGTTCAACAGCAACGTATTCCTCAAATCATTGATCTCCTCCTTTAGAAGTGGAAACAATTGACATCCAACACTACACATTGGTTGTCTCATAATCCATTCCCATAATGCCACAAAACCACCAGCGGCCTATCATTACTCAAAAATCAAGAGAACTATGATCAAGTAAGATGCGCAAAAAATTCCAACTGTCTAAGTAAAAACTTGCAGTGATTACTGCAGGACAACATGGATGAAGTAAATTTTAACTGTAACATGGCTGATTGGTGACATTGTTGAGAGACCCTCCGTCGCTGCGATTTTCATCAGTCATAGAAGTTAAAAAGTATTCGCAATCCAAACCACAACTTACAAACCTTCGACCCCAGATTGCCTTTGCTAATCATTCCACTGTCGTTAGCTTTTATATCCATTGAAACCCTTGCCCTGCTTCTTCCATATGCGTCATCTTGACACTTGCATCTTGAGCCCGACAGCTTGTTAAGATGACGAAAGTCCACACTAATAACTCCCACTGAACCTTAACGCCTAACCCCTAGGACGGAAGAATAAGATTGAGTAAGAGAAGGAAGATGAAGTAAGAAGGCAGAGCGAAGAAGAAGATGAAGCCCTAATCGGAGATAGAAACCCCCCCTTTGCTCAAAATTTATTCATTCCCAAACCACCTGCCACGCTGCCGAATCCACGCTAAAGGCCACGTCGGAGTCACGGTGAGTGCTCCGGTGAGGAAATAAATGGCGGAAAATTGACTCCGGCCAAACTTAAGGCTCTATATGCGCCGCCGGAGGTTTGAAATTTTATACCAATATGACAAAACTTAAAAAAAATATACCAACTTGTCACCAAGACCCTAGAAAATATACCAATCTGGCCATTTTGCCATATAAATTGGCACTTTAGGAAAAATGTGTCATGACCCCAAATTTGAAAACGTCGTCCGTCCAAGACCCCCATTATTTTTCTGGACGTGTGTCTAGACCCCAAAATTGAATTCTTTTGATGTTTAGGCCCTCTCACTTTTCAGAAAAGTTACAAAAGTGAAGGGCTAAACGTATATAAAGTTCAATTTTAGGGCATAGTAAAACGCCCAGGAAAGTGAGGGGCTTAGCACTGGGGGTTTTCAAATTTATGGCCTGGACGCATTTTTTTTCCTTGCACTTTATACCTTATCATTTCTCCAAAAAAATTTATGGCCTAGACGCATTTTTTCCTTCCTTTTCTCGAGCAACCGAAAGCAGTGAGCTTCTCTTACTCCTCGGTTCGACCTCATCCAATCTAAATTCAGAGCTGGCGATGCTAAGGTTACATTATGTTCGCTTGTATTAAGACCAGAAAATGTTCTCTTTTCACATTACAGAACAGTGAGACGTCTAAAGTTCACTTATAAAAGGTTGTTTTGATTCGTGACATTTTTTCTTTGGATCAAATTCTACTGTAACCTGTATGAATTGTTGCATGTACTTCTTTTTCTGTCTCTTCCCTATTCTTCATGTAGGTCCTCATAACTATCGTTTGAATTCTTACGAATTCAGTTCTTGGAAACGTACACCTGCTCGTCAGAAGATATGCTTGGCATTTTAAAGAGACAAGCGTTATTAGACTTCATTTCTGCGGAGAAAATTTAGAGTGTGGAAATGATTTAAAAGGCGCTGAGATATTAGTTCTAGTGTCGAATGAAACTTGTAGTCAGTTCCAATTTTTGGTAACACACGTCTGTGGACTCTGCAGTACTTCAGTGTAATCTTTCTCCAAAGGAAGGATGCTCTTGCGAGTCGTGCATCAGGATTTACTTCGGCATTGGCCATTTACCTTTAGCTTATAAACCTAAGATCGTAATTTTGATGAGCTCGATAAATTTGTCGCGGTCTTTTTAATAGAGGTAACCATGATACTGTGTACAACATAGCGAGGATTGAATGAAAAGGAATTCAGCAAATAACACTCTGTAGTGATTATCATTGATACAAACATCACAACGGAGATCTGACATAAACAAATAATGTGAGTATATATACAAAAAATCAAAGGGAGGAGAAGATGGGAACACCACTGACGGTGGCCCCAGCATCCACGATGAAGGTATTACCGGTCACATACTTAGAGGAGTCATGGATTAGATACCGAACAAGAGATGTCATCGCTGGATCAGTTGTGCCAAAAGTTTTCAATGGAACAGTCTTCATGGCCACATTTTTTAACCAATCTTTACTCATTAGGCCTTTGGTGATCTCAGATTTGAACAACCCTGGAGCAATTGCATTCACTCTAATATTGTACCGTCCAAGCTCCAATGCCATCACCTGCAGTTTTCCCGTAAGAAAAGCAAAGGCAGGTGAACATATGGTAGTTTTAGTGAAATGAAATAGCTACATAGCAGACGAGTAAGTTACATACACGACTTTGTAGTGCTGACCGATGGCCAAAATTTTATCATTCTGAGGGTATTAAGAGAGATGCACCTTATCACAAAATAAGGTGCAATGAATTTCAGAGATTTATATTCATAATTTTTAGAATATAGTGAGTGTTGTGCGCGGCGGAAGCTTCGAGTGCAACACGAACAATTACTCGAGATAAACTACAACCAATAAGCAAATCACAATCACAGCAAGAACAAACTATTTACGTGGTTCGGCAAGTTGCCTACGTCCACGGGGCAAGGAGGGGGGAGTTCTTACTATTAGAAATCAAGAGAATACAAATAGAGTTACAAATCTCACCGATCAAACCCTAAAACAAAGCTCTAAATCTCTCACAAATCTCTCACAATTAGATGCAACAATCCTCTCTCAAAGACTGTTCAAAATCGTCATTGCTTAACCCTAACTAATCAGGTTTAGGGTTATATATCAACTCAGAAACGAATCAGGTCAAAATCCAAGGCCCAGCCCAAATTGCATCTACGATCGATTGCGGCGATCGACCACGGCGGTCGACCGCGCAAGTCTCGCGGTCGACCGCGGCAGTCGACCGAACACCCGACAGAGAACCAACATCTTACAGTAAAACTCACGGTCGACCACGACGGTCGACCGAACTGATTTCCCGAGAGTAAAATCGCTACAGGGTCCTTGCGGTCGACCGCCATGGTCGACCGCCTCCTCGCGATCGACCGTCATGGTCGACCGCCTTTAGCTCCGAGTCCTAGTAACCTTTGTGCACGTTCGCGGTCGACTGTCAGTCTACCAGTCTGATTCTTCAACTTTCCTGCCGCTTCTCTCGCTACTTCTTCAATTCTCCACCTCGGCGAATGTTTCTACCAAAACTGAGCCGACAACAAATCATCCAAAGTCCCATTTGTTGTGTCCAGGACAACGTGGAAACACCCTACAACAACGGACTCAATCCACAACAAGTCCGGGAACCGAAACGTGAGCAGATACGATCTCCCCCCTATCTGAATCAACAAATAATACTAGCTACATCTGAAAGACTGCCTATGTATCCTCTTGCCCAAGGAATCAAGCCGAACGTAGTTCAGCCAAATAGCCTCCAAAGGCCTCAACACTGAATAATGTTTAAAAGCTTCAAACAGTGACCAAATTTCACCCATGAAACAACTTTGGTCAACATATTTGTAGGGTTGTTATTCGTGTGGACCTTCTCCAATATGACGTTTACATCATCCAAAACATGACGAACAAAGTGGAATCTGACGTCGATGTGCTTCGTGCGCGTATGATAAACCTAGTTCTTCACCAAATAAATAGCTGACATGCTATCACAATATATCTGAATGGTCTCCTGTGCGATCCCCAAGTCCTCCAATAATCCACGCAACCATAAAGCCTCCTTAATAGCTTTAGTTACTGCCATATACTCTGCCTCTATAATAGAGAGAGTCACTGTTAACTGAAGTGTACATCGCCAACATACAGGTACACCTACCAATGTAAAAGCATAACCTGAAGTAGACCGTTGCTTGTCAAGATCTCCAGCATAATCTGAATCCACATATTCAATACAATCTTGCTCATTCTTCTCATCCTTCTGGAATACTAAACCAACATCCACGGTGCCTCGAAGATACCGTAGAATCCACTTAACGGTCTCCCAATGACCCTTCCCGAGGGTCGTGCATGTATCTCTATATCATGCTCACGGCCTGTGACAAATCTAGCCTCGTACACACCATCGCATACATCAAGCTACCTACTGCACTGGCATATGGGACCTTCGACATATAATCTTTGTCCTCAACTGAAACAGGCAACATCAACGCTGAAAGCTTGAAGTGGGGAGCTAATGGTGTGCTAACTGCTTTTGCATTGTCATCAAATCTGAATTTCTTCAACATCTTTTACAAGTAGCTCTTCTGTGTAAGTTTCAAACTCCCTTTCATCTTGTCTCTCTCGATCTCCATACCCAATATCTTCTTTACCTCTCCAAGATCCTTCATCTCAAACTCGGATGATAGCTCATCTTTCAACTTTCGAATAGTCGAAGAGTTCCTGGAAGCAAGAAGCATATCGTCAACATATAAAAGCAAATATATGTGTTCACTATCCTGTAGCTTGTGCATATAAACACATGGGTCATATGTGCTCCTTGTGTACCCTCGGTCAATCATAAAGTCGCCGAATCTCTTATACCACTGTCTTTTGGTGACTACTTCAAACCATAAAGAGACTTATTCAGCTTACAAACCAAATCTTCCTTTCCTGCAGCTTTAAATCCCAAGGGTTGTGTCATATAGATCTCCTCATTTAAATCACCGTGTAGAAATGTTGTCTTCACATCCATCTGGACCAAATCCAAATCCAACTGTGTCAGCAATGCCAATAAAATCTGTATCGACGAATGTTTCACAACGAGTGAAAATACCTCGTTGTAGTCAATGCCCTAAGCTGTGCATATCCCTTGGCAACCAATCTGGCTTTGAACTGAATGTCCCTAATAGAAAATCCCTCCTTTTTCGCATATACTCACTTGCAACCAATAGCTTTCTTAGTCTTAGGTAGCTTTGCAAGTTCCCAAGTGTTGTTCTTCTGAAGAGATCGCATCTCCTCATCCATAGCTTCCTTCCACCTGATCGAATCGGGGCTAGAATCTGCCTCCCTGAATGTGGATGGAACCATATCATCAACGACCTTTACTGATAATGCATATGCGACCATGACATCATTATACCTAGCTGGCCGACGAATTACTCTCTTCGGTCTATCTGCTACAATGGGCCCCTGAACATGACCCTGTTCCTGAGTCCCATAGGCCACTGTATCCTCGATCTGCCCGGCTATCATCTCATCTCCTCCCAGTGTCACCTCTGTAGGAGCCTCAATGGATACAATGTTCTCTGGAATGAGTGGAGTCACATCATCCTCCACCTGTTGTGATATCTCTCATGTCTGGTCTCCCTCCACCTGCTGAGAGACTCGATGCCTCATCATGTACGCCTCATCAAATGTAACATATCTGCTAATAACTATCTTCTTGTCATGTGGATCCCATAACTTGAAGTATTTGACCTCATCTCTAAATCCCACAAAGACTGCTTTCCTCGCTCTTGGATTTAATTTATCATCACTGACATGGTAATAAGCTGGACACCAAAATATCCGAAGCAACTCATTTTCACTAGCCACCGAATCAAACCAACGCTCCAAAGGAGTCTTCCCGTCTATCGCAGTGCACGACAATCTATTCACGAGATGGCTCGCATAAACTAACACATCGGTCCAAAAAGATCTAGGTAATCCACTCTGCATCATCATACATCGCACCTTCTCCAGTAATGTACGGTTCAATCTCTCAGACACCCTATTCTGTTGCAGTGTCTCTCGAACTGTGAATTATCTTATAATACTGTGATCCCAGCAAAACTGCAGAAACGGATCACTCTTGTACTCTCCACCGTTATCTGAACGTAGAGTCTTCACCTTTTTACCTGTCTGCAGCTCCACTTTCTTCTTCTACTCCACAAAAATATCCAGGAGCTGATGTTTATGCTTCATAGGGTATATACTCAATTCCTCCTGGAATAATCATCAATGAAAGTGATAAAATAGTTGGCCCTACCAAGAGATGTGTTCTTGGAAGGACCCCAAACATCTGTATAAATGTAATTCAATGTATCTCAGGTGTTGTGAACAGCGATGCCAAACTTTACTCTAGTCTTCTTCCCAAGTACACAATGCTCACACAGCTCCATCTTGCATGTTTTAGCATCTTTCAATAGTCTCTGTTTTGACAATGACTGTAGGGACTTATCACCTATGTGTCCAAGTCTCATGTGTCATAAAGTGATAGTGTCCTCCTCTGTAGAGATAGAAGCTGTCAGACCCTTTGTAACTGTCTTGTCCTTCAAGTAGTATAGGTTGTTTTCACTGACACCTCGCATCACCACCATAGAACCCTTTGTGACCTTTACTGTAGCATCTTCTAAGATCACTCGATGTCCTGCTACCTCTAAAGTCTCAAGAGAAATGATGTTTTTGTCAACTACGACACGAACCTCACTTTCTTCAACTCCCTCACTATACCGTCATTCATCCTAATCCGGACTGAACCAATACCACCAATAGGACATACATGGTCATTACCCATAAGCACGATATCCCCCCTTTCCAGCTCCTCAAAGCTAGAGACTCACTCCCTCTTAGGGCAGTGTGATATGTAGCTCCCGAATCCATAATCCACTTTGTGGAATCCGTATAACAAACCGATGGTAATGCAGGGCATGAATAGCCTGAAGAGTCTGAATGTAAATGCTCATCAATAACTTTTGCAACAATCACTTCTGAAGCTTGTACAGGTTTCCCCTTGTTCTTCCCGGCTTTTTCTTTTCACTTTGGGCAGTCAATCTTCCAATGTCCTTCTTTATGATATCGACATTGATTTCTACCAACACTTTTATAAGCACTCCTATTCTTTGATTTTGAACAGTTAAACTGGTAACGATTTGGATCTCGGCCTCGAACAGCTAATGCATCTTCCGATGCCTTCTCAGAAGGTTCACCATTACTCTTCATCAACTCATAATTAACCAAAGCTGAGGTCACCTCCTTATAGCTAACTGTAGTTCTTTCATTGATCATAGTGAGAACAAACATACCATAATCATCCTCGGGCAAAGAACACAGAAGTAACATCGCCTTGTCTTCATCCTCAACCATGATGTCCACATTGGCCATATCTGAAAGTAGCTTAGTGAAATTGTTGACATGCTCACTGATGGAAACTCTCTTCTTTATCTTGAACTGATAAAATCTCTTCTTCAAGTGAAGTCGATTCTCAATGCTCTTCGTCAGATATTTGTCATTGAGTGTTTCCCACATTCTCTTTGCCGACGTCTCGTTCATAACATCATAAATAAGATCCGGCGTCAACATGACCTAATTACTCCACAAGCTCTACTATTAATCTTCTTCCAAACCTTGTCCTCTGTATCAACGAGTTTCTCTTATAACTCAAGAGTCTCCTCCAAATTCTGTGTATCCAATGCATCTATCACTTAACACCTCCACAATCCGAAATTGATCTTGTCGTCGAACTTCGGAACATCAATCTTCGTATTATTGGTGCTCAAACTCTGTATCGCCTTAGTAAGAGACGAACCTGATGTGCTTGCTTCTCCCATGTTGTCGATTTAACTCTTCAGATAGGAATCTTCACCGAATCCTTCAAACAGGCCTAAAGCTCTGATACTAATTGTTGTACGCGACGAAGGCTTCGAGTGCAACACGAACAATTACTCGAGATAAACCACAACCAATAAGCAAATCACAATCACAGCAAGAACAAACTATTTACGTGATTCGGCAAGTTGCCTACGTCCACGGGGCAAGGAGGGGGGAGTTCTTACTATTAGAAATCAAGAGAATACAAATAGAGTTACAAATCTCACCGATCAAACCCTAAAACAAAGCTCTAAATCTCTCACAAATCTCCCACAATTAGATGCAATAATCCTCTCTCAAAAACTGCTCAAAATCGTCCTTGCTTAACCCTAACTAATCAGGTTTAGGATTATATATCAACTCAGAAACGAACCGGGTCAAAATCCAAAGCCCAGCCCAAATTGCACCTGCGGTCGACCGCGCAGGTCTCGCGGTCAACCGGACAGTCGACCGAAGCCTTTGTACACATTCGCGGTCAACCGTGACGGTCGACCGCCAGTCTGCCAGTCTGATTCTTCAGCTTTCCTGCTGCTTCTCTCGCCACTTCTTCAGGGAGATGCAATTATGATTTTGATGTTTTTTGAGGAGGACAATTGTATACAGATGGATGGGCTGCCAGGCAGAAAAATAGAGGGAAATCATGCTACAACACAGTAAGAAGTGTCTTTCTATTGTTACCCTATTAATCAATAAAGCCAGTCTTCAGACACGGCTTTCTATGTCTGATGTCAGTATTACCTTAATAACAATTACGAGCATGAAAATCCACAAGTCTCAAAACAGATAGGCTACCTCCATTGATTTAAACCGGATGCTGATTAATTGATAGCTATCTACGTGAAATTAGGGTGAATGTTGAAAACTGCAGTGTAGTTAGAGTGAGCGAGAAGTTTATATGTTTTTTTAAGGGATCTAAATGAAGCTATACCATATGTATCCTGCCACATGCTCATCGTAGTCAGGGATATTTCTAGTGATTTGAAGAAGACCAACCCTGATCACAAGCTATGCCAACGAAATTAGTGAGCATTCTGTAGCATTGAATCTCTTCATTTCATGTTTTTTTTGGGCACATATTGTTGCTATTTTAATTATTAATTAATTTCTATAAACAACAGCAGGAGTAATTTAGTATCAGATGGTATACATGAGTGAAAACATAATGTTGCATTGATTATAATATTGGACTGGAAATTGTGAGCAGATTCCAACATACAATTGAGTGAAGGTTTATCTGGAAGTAACTTTCTCCTTTCTGTACATCTCTTCCTTTATGTTCTACATTTACTTCATGTTCTACATTTAACTAACAACCAACAACATTATCGAAGATCAAATTGTTGTTTCCCTACTTCAAAAACCATCAACAATTTTCTTTGCAGACTTAATCTTTGAAGTGCGCTATAGATTATGAGGCAAATGTAAAAAATGGATAAACAGTTGTGCACAATAAATAAGAACAACTTTTATCAAGGAGAGGTTTGCACTGTTACCCTCGTAACGGCAGTAACCGCTGTCTTTGAAGCGCTGTAGGCAATCGCACCATGCACTTGCCCACGCTCGAGGCCAGCAACAGATGAGATGTTGATCACTGACCCTTCAACTTCCGCGTCGCGCATTCTTCTACAAACATGCTTGGACACTAGCCATAATCCAGTCAGGTTAGTCCTTATGTTACTATTCCATTCCTCTTCAGACCAGTCAAGTGCAGCATGTACACCACCTAAGAAATAGTATATTCAAAGTTTAGTTAGTGTGATAATTCATCGATAAATCCCTGAATGTTTTCTGAAATTGACCTACGCATGAAATTAACAAAGACATTAATTGTAGGATTTCAAACTACAAGGAATTAGGAATAACGGCTAAAATACTGTTGGAATATCAAATTAAAATGTTAGAATAAATGAGTTTAATAGCATGAGTTTTAGAAGTGCAAGGGTCATAAGTTTAGAAGGAGAAGAGACATAGGTCATGGAAGAATAAGAGTAACTTACTCATTTATGACATTTATCTTTATGGCATTAAAATTGGAGTTTAATTTGTGACTATTGATATGCCTAAACGTTTTTGTTTTTGAAGCCTATATAAAGGGCTATTGTAATCCTTGTTTGATATGAAGAAAGAAAATTGAAAAAATATAAGTGAGTTCTTTGTCTTCATTTGAAAGAGTTCTAAGTTCGTAAACTTAAGAGTCATCAGTGGTATCAGAGCAACTTGATCCAATTTTCCCATTCTCTCTTCTTCTCATGGCTACCACAAATAATCTTGTCAATCCTCAAGTGCCCAAATTATTGAAAGATAACTATGAGAGTTGGTCAATCCAAATGAGAGCTTTATTTGGTTCTCAAGAGTTGTGGGAGCTGATCATTGATGGGTTCACGGAACCTACACCAGAAGTAGAAGCCACCTATACCGCCGAAGAGAAGAAAGCTCTCAGAGAACAAAGAAAGAATGATAGCAATGCTCGTTTTCTACTCTATCAAGGGTTGGACGAGTCTACTTTTGAAAGGGTTGCCGAAGCAACGACAAGCAAGGAAGCATGAGAAATCCTTACGACCATCTACAAAGGTGTCGAGCGGGTGAAGCGAATTCGCCTCCAAACTTTGAGGGGCGATCTTGAAGCCGCTCAAATGAAAGATGAAGAACAAATCTCCGATTATTATTCACGATTACTTCTAATTGTGAATAAAATAAGGAGAAATAGAGAGAAGATGGAGGACATCCGAGTGATGGAGAAGTTGCTCCGATCCCTCACATTAAAATTCGAGCACGTGGTGGCGGCAATTGAGGAGTCAAAGAATTTGGAGGAGATCTCAATAGAGGAGCTCTTGGGATATCTCCAAGTTCATGAACAACGAATGTAAAAGAAGGCTAGTTCCATAGTTTTGGAGCAAGTACTAGAGTCAACATTGACTCTAAGTAATCAAGGCTCACAAGGAAGAGGTCGTGGTCGTGGTCGTGGTAGAGACAGGGGACGTGGTCCCCAACAGCAAACCACTCAAAATCAAGTGGAGACCCAAAGCTTTAAAGGACGATGACGAAGCAATCGTGGAAGATCCACACCTGGGCATGGAAGCAACAAGAATGTTCAGTGCTATAACTGTCACAAGTTTGGGCACTATGCTTCAAATTGTTGGCACAAAACTGAAGACCAAACCAATCTTGCCGAAGCAACAAATGATGTGGGTAACAACTCTACGCTTCTTCTTGCTAATGATGATTCAAGTATTGAGAATGATGCTTGGTACCTTGACTCGGGTGCTAGCAACCACATGTGCGGGAAGAAAGAACTTTTCATGGAACTCGCAGAAGGAGTTCATGGAAGTGTGAGCCTAGGAGATTCTTCAAAACTCCCGGTTGAAGGCAAATGGAAGACTAAAATCTACCAAAAGGATGGTAAGCCCGAGTATATTTCCGATGTTTACTATATTCCTAACATGAAAAGTAATATTCTTAGCATCGGTCAATTACTCGGAAAGGGATACAAAGTATATATGGAGAACAACCATCTTTGGTTGAAAAATACAAATGGCGGCCTCATAGCTTGTGTTAAGATGACAAGGAACCGCATGTTTCCCTTACATCTAAACACGAAAGTCGACAAGTGTTTTCAAGGACTCATGGAGAATGAGTCATGGAGGTGGCATCTTCGCTTCGGCCATCTAAACTTCAGCGGTTTGAAGTTATTGTCTACAGCTGGCATGGTACGAGGTCTACCAACAATTGATCCACCGAATCATATTTGTGAAGGTTGTGTAATCGGCAAGCAACCACGACTTCCTTTTCCTAGTGGAAAATCATGGAGAGCAAAGGCACCATTGCAACTTGTTCACACCGACATTTGCGGACCGATCGTTCTCATCTCTTTGGGAGGTAATAGATATTTTTATAACTTTTATTGATGACTTCAGTAGAAAATTGTGGGTGTACACTCTTAAAGAAAAATCTGTTGCCTTTACTACATTCAAGCATTTTAAAGTTTTAGTTGAAACAGAGAGCGGCCACAAGCTAAAAATTCTTTGATCTGACCGAGGTGGTGAGTACACCTCAAAACTATTTCAAGAATATTACAAGGAGCAAGGTATAAAAAGACAGTTTACTACTGCCTACACACCACAGCAAAATGGCATTGCAGAAAGAAAGAACCAGACCATCTTCGACATGACAAGAACCATGCTCAAAGAAAAGGGATGCTTAACGCAGTTCTGGGCAGAAACCGTGGCGTGCTCAGCTTATTTGCTCAACCGATATCCCACAAAGATGGTGAAGAACAAGACACCTCAAGAGGCATGGAGCGGTTACACGCCTAGTGCGGCACACCTACGAGTTTTTGGTTGTGTTGCATATGCTCAAGTACCTGAAGTCAAAAGGAAGAAGCTTGACAATCACGGTGAAAAATGTATTTTCATCGGATATAGCGAGGAGTCGAAGGGATACAAGCTCTACAATCCACTAACCAAGAAACTAGTTGTTAGTAGAGACGTTGTCTTTAATGAAGAAGAAGCATGGAACTGGAGCAATGAAGATCAACCCGTGGTGAATGAACCTGATGAGTCTCTACATGAGGAACCATCACTAGGTACACCACCATCTCCTCCACACTCTACACCTTCTCCTGCAAGAGGTTCTCCATCTTCTGGGGAAGGTAGTAGCAGCGAATCTACCATGCAACGAGGTCCCATCAAAATGAGAAGCCTCAGGGAGATCTATGAGCAGATAGAAGAAGACGAAGAGTCAAATCTTTTCTGCTTATATGCTGATCATGAACCTCTCACCTTTCAAGAAGCCGTAAAAGAAGATTGTTGATGAACAGCAATGGAGGACGAGATCCACGCCATCCAAAAGAATGACACTTGGGAGTTTGCAACTCTTCCACAAAATCACAAGGCAATATGGGTCAAGTGGGTGTACAAGATCAAGCGCACAGCAAATGGTGAAGTTGATCGGTACAAGGCGAGGCTTGTAGCGAAAGGTTACAAACAAAAGTACAGCATCGACTATGAAGAAGTCTTTGCTCTGGTTGCTCGACTGGATACGATGAGACTATTAATTTTACTTGCAGCTCATCACAAGTGGAATATATATCATTTGGATGTCAAGTCAGCATTCCTCAATGGCGTTCTTGAGGAAGAGGTGTACGTGCAACAACCAGAAGGCTTTCTTATAAAATGGCAAGAAGAAAAAGTGTACCATTTGAAGAAAGTCTTGTATGGCTTAAAGCAGGCACCACGGGCGTGGAACGCCCGAATTGATGGCTATCTTCATCAAAACGGCTTCATTAAATGTCCCTATGAACACGCCATCTACATGAAGAGGAACCATAGAAGCGAATTTCTAATGATTTGTCTTTATGTTGATGATTTATTGTACACAGGAAGCAGTACCGAGATGCTTGTTGAATTCAATGTGGCAATGTTCAATGAATTTGAGATGACGGACAATGGATTGATGTCCTATTTTCTTGGCATTGAAGTGAAGCAGCAACAAGAGGGGATTTTAATATCCCAGAAGAAGTACATGAATGAGATCTTAGAGAAGTTCAAGATGAATGAATGCAACCCTGTGAACACCCCAGTAGCCATCGGAATGAAGCTATCAAGAGAAGGAGACGGACGTTTCGTGGATTCAACTCTTTTCAAAATTCTAGTTGGCAGCCTGAGATACTTGACGATCACAAGGCCCGATATTACTTATGGAGTCGGACTTGTGAGTCGCTATATGGAGACACCGAATGAATCTCACTGGCTAGCTGCGAAGAGGATACTAAGGTATATCAAAGGCACACTCAACATAGGTCTCTTCTATGCATATGATGAAAATGCACAACTAGTTGGTTACTCAGATAGTGACTGGGGATGTGATCAAGATGAGACAAAAAGCACCACATGCTATGTCTTCTATCTTGGGTCAACTGCATTTTCATGGACCTCAAAGAAGTAAGGAGTTGTAGCTTTATCTTCATGTGAAGCAGAGTATGTGGTGACTGCATCTACAGTATGTGAAGCAATTTGGTTGTGAAACATATTAAATGAGTTGGATCATCCACAAGAAGACTCGACCGTAATTTTTGTGGACAACAAATCAGCCATCCAGCTTGCAAAGAACTCAGTACATCATGGGAGGAGCAAACACATAGATACACGGTTTCATTTTCTCAGAGACCATGTAAAGCAGAAAACCGTTGAACTGAAGCATTGTCACACCACTGAACAAGTAGCAGACATATTCACAAAGCCATTATCAGGTGAAACTTTCATGAGGCTAAGAGACATGCTTGGCATAAAGACATTTTGATTTGAAGGGGCGTGTTGGAATATCAAATTAAAATGTTAGAATAAATGAGGTTAATAGCATGAGTTTTAGAAGTGCAAGGGATATAAGTTTAGAAGGGGAAGACACATAGGTTATGAAAAAATAAGAGTAACTTACTCATTTATGACATTTATCTTTGGGGAAAATTTACAAAATAGACCGTTTTTATAAAGTAATTAGCGAAATAGACCACTTTTGAGAGTAATTAGCAAAATAGACCTCTTTTTGACAAAAGATGTCGATTTTGAAAAAATGTCTTCAGAAAACATACTGGACTACTAGTCTCGTATGTTTAAAGCTAACTAATCTAATAATTAGTGTACTAATCATTAGATTAGTTAGCTTTAAACATACGGGACTAGTAGTCCCGTATGTTTTCTGAGGCCACTTTTTCAAAATCGACCTCTTTTTGGCCTATTGGCCAAAAAGATGTCTATTTTGCTAATTACTTTTAAAAGTGGTCTATTTCGCTAATTACTTTATAAAAACGGTCTATTTTGTAAATTTTCTCTTATCTTTATGGCATTAAAATAGGAGTTTAATTTGTGATTATTGGTATGCCTAGACGTTTTTGTTTTTGAAGTCTATATAAAGGGCTATTGTAATCCTTGTTTAATATGAAGAAAGAAAATTGAAGAAATATAAGTGAGTTCTTTGTCTTCATTTGAAAGACTTAAGAGTCATCAAAGACTGTGCCTTGCGCTTGGCCTAAGTTGCAAACCACAGCAAAAATTTTGTGAAAAATACCAAATGCAAAGACTGTGCCTTGCGCTTGGCCTAAGTTGCAAACCACAGCAAAAATTTTGTGAAAAATACCAAATGCTCAAGGGTGATCAAGTGAAATTTATCGAACAAGTCATCTAATTTTAGGTAAATCTCACTGGGTTACAGCTAATTAACACGTAAATCAAACTCAAATCACCTCGAATTCCAGCATTATTAACCAAAACATCAATCTTTCCCCAGGCCGCCCACGCTTTCTCCACTGAACCCTCAATCGACGAGCTCTCCGCGCTCACATCGAGCTCAACGGGCACCGCTCGCGCCTTATCGGACCCGGACTCGGATCCGAACCCGTTAATCTCGTCGCAGAGAGATCTGAGGCGATCGGTTCTTCGAGCGGCGGCGACGATTCTGAATCCGGCTTCAGCGAGGTCGATGCAGACTTCTCGGCCGATGCCGGAGGAAGCTCCGGTCACCATGACAACTCTGGGCTCCGCCGCCGACATTGAGGTTTGCTAATTTAGGTTACCCGAATATTTACGACTTGTTCAAGGTATTATTACCTGGGCTAAAAGGCACTTAGGAAAAATGTGTCAAGACCCCAAATTTGAAAACCTCGTCCGTCGAAGCCCCTCATTATTTTTCTGGACGTGTGTCTAGACCCCAAAATTGAATTCTTTTGATGTTTAGGCCCTCTCACTTTTCAGAAAAGTTACAAAAGTGGAAGGGCTAAACGTATATAAAGTTCAATTTTAGGGCCTAGTAAAACGCCCAGTAAAGTGAGGTGCTTAGCACTGGGGGTTTTCAAATTTATGGACTAGACGCATTTTTTTCCTTGCAGTTTATACCTTATCATCTCCAAAAAAAATTACTTATATACATATCCTAAGTTACAAAACAGAGCAAAACATGTATCTTTGAGTTGTCAGCCGTCTGACTTTGTAAACAGTGTTAAAATTTATCCAAAGGATAAAATTGTCCTCCTTCAAATATAAACCTCGTAGTTGAAACTTGAAAGCAGCAAGTAAAGTTACAATTAATATAATCAATGAAGGCAGATGACATTCAAAATAGTCATGTCATAACCAGCATGTGAGAATATTTTACGGAATATTCCATGAGCAGAATGTAGCAGCGTGCACCTTTTTTTTTTTTTTTAACTTAGGGTTCATATTTTCTACGTTTTATAACTTAGGGTACATGTTTGCTCCATTGTATTACTTAGGAGATATAATCGCTTTTCAGGGAACAATAGGGTATTTAAGTGCAATTTAGCCTATTATACTTCTAGGAAGAAATCCTTCATTTTATATGCACATCACGCTAGAGAAATTTGTTATATGTTTATTGATGGAAAATGATTAATGATCTACTTAATTAGTACTTAGTTAAATTACCAGTCATTTAAGCAATCAAAACAGAAGCATGAACGTTAATCCAGTGCTGCAATTCCCCCTCCCAATGAGAGCATCTTCCAAAGGAGCGAAACCTGGATGGCTCATTGAATGCGATCCAGTGCTTCAAACGCTACCTCCGAACAGTCCGAAACCAAATTCCAGAATGAGGCATGAGACCACCCCCTGCAAGATTTTATTCACAGTAAGGCAAATTGAGCTGGCTGTTTATCCTTGGTACAGTTGGCAAAGAAATCTGTCATTCTAACCTTAGCGGTAGTAGTTCAGTGTAAAGATGAGCTGTTACAGGATTCTTCTTCTTCTTTATGATAGTCATGACTCATGACCATATGCAGCATATATATTGGGCTATCTGACGATAAGACCAGCGTATGCTGATGTAATATGAGACCTGGATATCTGCAAGGAAAAGTTTAAGGACACTCGCGAGTGTCTTAACACTCGCATTGTGATTGGTTAGGGCCGTAAGTTACGGTGTAGGGTAGGGTGTAGTGCTTAGGGGTATAGGCCTCAAACATCTCAGAATCTGATCGTCAGCCGAGTATCGTGGCATTTATTGCCAATATAAACAGTTTGAGAAGAGATCATCTCCAAGTGCCATTTTAGAAGGTATTAAGCTATTCCTAGTTTCTTAAAGCGTGTATACGTAGATGTAAGATATATGAATTAGGGTGATTTCTTGAGTAGCTTGGGCGTTTCCTCCTCGTTTACATCTGTATTTTTAGCGTATAAAGATCAATGTGTCATTTGCGAAGAAAATACTAGTTTTATTTGATTTTTTTTGGCCTTTCCCTTTCCTTTCTTGTAGACATGGTTCAATATTTAGCTTGTCGCATACTTCTTCAAATCATAGATCTAATGTGATAGCTAGAGAGAGGTTTCTTCTAAATTTGGAACTCATGTGTTCAGACTTGTAGAACTCTAAAGGTCAAATGAACAATATCAGAAGTGTGGTTTGCTTTCAGACTGTATTCATCTTAAATTTAGTTTTATTTGGTTGTTGTGGTCTCTAGTGACTTTCATGGTATCGAAAATTTTGCTTGATAATTTCTGTACTATTAACATTAAGAAACCAAAGAATTTGATTTCAGTCTGCAAAGCAAAAGGTTGACGTTTCGTGCTAGTATGTGAAAATAGACATGTCTAGCTACTTGGTCATAGAATAATGTTGATTTGGTGTGATCTAATATACTTTATACTAGCTGGTTTAAATTGAGCGATTTAAGCATGAAACTAATTTCGTCGTATTTTCATCAACGGTTGTTTTAGATATATACCCTTCAAGATATAGGAATTGTTAAAATCACCGCTCAAATCATTGTAATATTAGTTTTCACCCCCAGTTTAGGTCATCAGACAATTTTATCCTCTTAGTTAGGGTTACAGTTTTATCAATTTTCAGATATTGTTACCTTTTTAGAAGAAAAAAAACTTAATCGGTTATAAACAAGAGAGATGGATAAATGTTACCTTTGAAAAGTTAGGGATTCTTAAATATGATTGGATCAGAGGATAAACTTAATGTTAGTGTCCTATTTGTCATGACAAATCCCCATGATAAACAAATATTAATTAAAACGAAGACACAGACAAATGATGAGAACTCAAATCATAAAGATGTATGCGATTCGGCTTGTAGTCTACATCGATCCTCGGGTGACGTACAGAGGAGAGTAGCTCTAGTAAAAATTTGTGACGAATACAATGCCTTGATGGGGAAAAAAACTATCTGTTATTTCCCTTTATGTTGCTACCTAGGTTGGGTAAATTCTCATAGAAGACTTCATGACATATTTATAATAAGGACTCAAATTGCAACGGCCGGCTAGCTAGGAGCTCTAATAACCTAGAATTGAATTCGTAATCCAATAAGAAACAAAACTAACATTTTCCTCCTCATCTTAAAAGTAGGCACGACCAACTGGGTCTGTAATAGGATTGAATATCCCATCCCATCTGGACTTTTATCTCTCGGCCGGAACAAGACCGAGCCAAACGTCAATGGGTGCTAACAAGTCCCATTCGTTTGCTCGAGGGCGTCACATAAGATTTTCCTCTTATCATGTTGATATAAATCGTCCAATTACTTTGAAGAAGGGATAGGAGTACTGCCACGGAGAAATTTAATTTCAACAGTATTGAGTAACTTAATCTTTTCAACTAAAAATTGAACTTTACCTAGCAACGGTTTTAAAAGAAATGGGGCGAAAATTCAGTCCAGACCTCACCATATGATTTCAATAGCCAACTATTTTAGATATTATACATTATGCTTCTCAGTTTAGCAAAAAATAAATGAACACGAAACAATCAAGAGCTTAATTTCCTCTTCTTCATGATATGACTAATTAACATTATATGATTGTTTACTATCAATATAGGCCTGCAAGCTCAGAACTTTTCTGAGGAAAAACCAGTATGTTATATGATCGACTTGTTCGCGGACAGTAAATCTATTGATCATGGAAGTCGACAGATCTTGGTTAGACCTCCCGCTCGAGCTTCTCGAAGCAATCTCGTCAAAGCTTCCGCTATCAGATCATCCTAGATTTGCCCGCGTGTGCAAAGATTGGAAAACAATTACTTCTCAAGTTTATCCCGCAGACAGACAGAAGTCCCCTCCTTGCCTATTTCAAAAAATGGAGGGACCGTAATCTTGGCTACTACAGTCCTTTACTAAACAAGCTCCTATCGAAAGCTCGGTTATATTCCTCCAAAGACGGATGGTTGGTGCTCTGTCGAGAAGAAGAGGTCTTATTGGTCAACCCCTTCACTGATACTCGTTTATTCACCAAACTTCACCGGAATCGAGTTCATCGGTCAACCTCCCGATAAACATTGCATGTTTGCCATCGAGAGCGTGTACAAGGATAGAGTGCTTATCTACTTTTGGGACGGCGAGGACTGGGGACGAGATAGGTACAGAAACAACACTCCATTTGTCATGGCGCCTCGTTCCAATTTTTGAGCGATTATTGTTGGCGGTCTCAATTCAACGGTACAAATTCTTGAGCTCAGGCCACAGGGATGGGTAGAGGTTACGGACTTGAAGGCTCGATCGTACTTTGTTTATCGTGCCTCAGTATGCCTCTTGTATCGGCTAATTCGCCGAAGAAATTGGATGACATTGTTTTCTTTTCGAGGCTAGCTAGCTGCTTGGGACTCAAGGGGCGAATCTATTTCGTTGCAAAGAAGCCTACAGGATCGAAGAAGACGAGTGAGGGCGGTATCTACACTTTCAGCTTGACGACGGGGGGTTGCTCCGAGTATCGTGGATCTTTCGAATATCCTTGTAGTATCTGGTATGAGCCCAGAGTTCAAGAAAATGTTTAATATATATATCAAAGTGATACTGAATAATAATATATGTGTATG